ACGGTGTTGGTGAAAGAGTTTCGCGTTGACCTGACCCAGGTCCACCTGTGTATACAGGTGGACAACGCGTGCCGGGAGGCAAAGAACAACATGGTATTAAGGTGGTGCGCCGCGCAAGTTTCCTGTGGCAATGTCAAATCAATTTCTCTAAACTCATTGCGGAGTGGCCACAGCCACGAAGATGTGGATCAGTGTTTTGGCCAGTTGGCCCGATGCATCGCTCGACACAAGCGTGCTGCCACGCTTGATCATTTCATGCAGATCGTTGGAGACTTTGCCAAAGGCATGCATCGGCCACACGAAGAGGGCAGGTACACGGTGAAGGTAGATGATGCCAGGGATTGGAACCCAGCCCAACACTTCATAACCATTTTGGAAAGCGTTTGCGTGGTGTTGACCCCTTCCTTTGGACTTGTCGTGAGTGACGCGTCGCCCCTCAGTTGGGCGTTTGTGTGTGAAACTGAACGGCGTCATATTATAACGATGATACATGTTTTGCGTTCTTTGGGCAGCTCAGGAAAGGTTGGCACCTTGCTGCCGTGCCAGTGCAACTCAAAGGAGTGGGCGGGCCCGGTGCCCCTCACGTCTTCAACTTTACGAGACGGTGCGACGTTCCAGGTGTTGCAGTCGCAAACACCTATTGGCCCGAGTTCGAAGCTGACCATCACGATGTGGTTCTGAGGACCGTTTTACAGCAACAAAGCCTAGGAGTTGACGGTTGTGTCAATATGAAGATGGGAATGTAATGTAAATAATGACAAGTTTCCTTTTCGCTTGGCCAAAGCGCACGCCACGATGCGAGAACTGTTTAGTTTTCAGCTTCACCAGTGTCACTGTTGTGGCCTGAATCCTTCGTTGATCCTAAAGCCACGCTACAATGATGCTATTGAAGCCGAAAGGGGCCAACATGTCCTGCATCTTCCCCCACTAAGGCCCAGATCACAAACGATTTGGTGGAAACATGTAAGCGACCACGAAGACTAGCAGCGTCGTACGTTTGTGTTGTCATTGTGTGGTCCTTTTCAGGACAAAAAGGTGGATGGCTGACTCAGAGTACAGCGCCACTTTCCTCTTTTTGCCACGCAGAGTCGCCTTGAGCAGAATGCCATTGGGGCTTCCAGCAGGTTCGAAAGCGAAAACTATCAACGACACTCGCTCTACCCTTCATGTTTGTTTGTTTCACCCACACATTTTGAAGCCCGCCCTGAAACACATGTCCTTCAAAAGCCTAGCTGTTCTTTGGCCCCTGCCCCCTGGCAGTCGTGGCAGAAAAACGTCCCATTGCTGAAGACTACAAGAGCCATTTGCAAAAGTTCTTGTCGCTACTTCGTGCGCCTGTGTACAAATTGGAGGAGGCGGCTGACTGAATCGAAGCCTGGTTGAACGGGACGTTGCCTCCCACTCCATTGCTGTCAATTGACGCGTGCTTTGGATCTTGAAGGCATGCGTTTACCTTTTTTTCAAGTTAAAGCCAACCTGGCCAAAGGGGGTTGTTATGCGCAGCGCGTCTTTAGGTGCATGGTTGTGAGCGGCCCGAGATGTTCTGCTGCCAACAGCCAAGCTCGCATGAATGCTGATCCTTTCCTGGTCGACCCAAATGAACTGAAGCCACAAAGCTGAATCGAATAGTTTTACTTTGCAAACCATTGAATGTGAAAAGGGTGTTCGCGAGGGACAGCCTTGTAAATGAATGGGACACTTGGAGGTTTCTGCCCCTTTTTCGCGGCAAGGCGTAGCGCTAGTTGCTAGTTATAGTGTGCGTACATTTGATATGCGTATATCGCTCTATGAGGGTGCTTCCCACACACAACTACGCTACTTCAGAGCGCAAATAATCGTGGCTTACTTCTGATAAGTATAATATCTATTGTTTATACATGTTTATACGCTTTCAGGTTCTATCTTGCACAGCCCTTCAGGCCTTCAGGTTCTAGAGCAGTGATGTCATTTTCATGTTTGTGCATCAACAACATTCAGACCAAGGCTATTGAAACCAGACAACTATATGCGAACCGTGTCGGCGCATGTCAAGAAAGCTCGTGAATCTATTGTTCTCCGAGCTGCTGCTCGGGCTTGGAGCTATGGTGTGCCATGGGCAGAGGCATTTGAAGTGGCAAGCGCCGCCGATAGAGCAGCTGGTGCAGCCATGCCACCCCCCCTTCGCAAAGGGAAGGGGGGCAAAGGTAAAGGTAAGAAAGGTGTGGGCCGCGGCAAAGGCCGGGGCTAGCTGCGATAATTTGGCAAAAGCCAAAAGGTGCGGTCACGGCATTCACCAGAAAGGAAAAGCTTTCTGGCATCTTGCCGAGCCTTCTTACCTCCCAAGACAACTTCTGACACTGGACTGGTGTTGCTTGAGAAATTTGACCGCCAGCAAGTCTGTCCAACTGTTCCAACGGTGGATCGTTTTTTGAAAAACAAGAAACATAAATATGCCCTATGTTGCTCGAAAGCACCAAAAAAATCCAGAGAGCCGAAAAAAATACAAAAAACGCTAAAAAAATTCGCGAGAGTTTAGTTCCTTTTACAAGCTGTTGTGTTGTGAGAAAGATCGGTCACTTCTGGAGTGGTTAGCTTGCAGGTGTTGAGAGTGACTGATCCCAGGTGTGATCAGTCACTCCTGGATTGTTTTTTGGAGCGACGGGTGGGGAGTCACCGACTAACTACCAAGGGAAGCGCGCAGTAGCAGCGCCAAAAGTGACCGATCACACCTGCGATCAGTCACTTTTGAGCCTCCCTCGGCAATGTGCCCATTAGTGACCGATTTCCCGGTTCACTCAAAGAGGCGGATTTCAGATTCCAGAAGAGACGGATCCCATCAATCCAAGAGAGACGGATCACTTTCTGTTGTTACATTGTCATGTGGTTTTGGCAGAAGAGATGGGTTTCAGGTGCTAGCGCAGCGTTCTGGCGCAAATCCAAAACAATCCACGGCCTCATCAAGGGTTCCAGTGGAAGTAAAAAGTGACTGATCGCAGGTATGATCCGTCACTTGTGGACATTTGGAATCCGCCTCTTTTTGGAACTTTGGAATCCGTCTCTTTTGGAACTTTGGAATCCGTCTCTTTTGGAACTTTGGATGTGAGTGTGACTGAACTCCTTGGGTTTCTGGTAGAGCAGCAGTTGGCTGTGTCCTTGTCCCACCTTGATGCGGATTCAGCAAGTAAGCAAGAGTTGCGAAACGCGTTCTTGCACGGCTATTGTCCAGAAAACTTTTTTTTCTCAGACCTTGTGGATCACAGTGGTCGCCCTCCTCCCTTCACCGCTGCCATCATGGCGAAGCGGAAGTCTTCGAGCGGTGCGGACCCAAAGTCCAAGGCGGCCAAGCCTTCCACAGATGTTCGTCCTGCTGACCAGGCTTATGTGACTTGTGTAGTGTCTTGGTTGCTGGGCTGCGTAAGTCTATGCTGAAGGCGCCAGTTCTTCCGACCATACCACACCTCCCGCCCACTTGCAATTAGACAAATCAAGCGTTTGGTGCGACCCAGGCTTCAAGACAAGGTCTTTCCAGCCGGAGGGCCTGACAAGTATCTGAGCCGTGAGTACGACACACAGGACCTGCATGGGTGAGATTACTTAGGTTGTAATGTGTGGTCAGGGGAGTTCTTGAAGTTATGAGTGGTTTGGATAGGAGAAGAAGCTGCAGTTTGCTGAGTGGATCAACGAGTACGCTAAAGCCGATCCCGCGCCTGGGGCCCAGTTTCAAAAGACCAGCTGGCGAGGGCAAACAATTGCTATTCCGCGCCATGTTTCATCCCATTTGCCAAACACTTGACGCAGGCTTGACTACGCGGTGAAGGCAGAAGGTGCACAAGTACTTCGACCATGGCAGTTGGCTTGGAGGGCTGATTTTGGTTGCAGTGGCTTTTTAGAGCCTGACCAATCATGCCTCATCGCTGAGCTCATGTTGACAGAAGGGCACGCTGTCGCGGTCAGTTGAAGAGTCAAGGGATGAACGTGTTTTGCTTTGTGGGGTGGTTGAATGTGCGCAGAACGGGCGAGTTTGCAACGCATTGCATTTTGTGGGGTTGAGGAGCAGGTAATAGGCGTTGAGAAATCACGGTGTTCATTTGAGAAATCAGTCTGTTTGTCACTGGGACAGGCTACGTACGGATCCCAACATGCCTGGGGTGTCCAAGTTGTCAACCACAACCGTGCCTCGGGAGTTCTTGGACGCCGAGTATACGGAGTTGCCAAGCATTTTCGGAGGCCTGCGCGCAATTCAATCATTGTGTGTTGTGGTGCTTCATGGTGTGTGAAGGGCGAAGTCCACATGTGACCCCACGCTCTCAAGTCTTGCGCTTTCAATAGTGACGCGCCGGCAGGCGGAGCGCTCCTTCCTCCTTTCTCTGTGGGGTATTGCAAAGGATGGAAACGGGGCGTCATGGCCCTCATATGTCTACAGGCAGTGAAAGAGTTTGGCCTTGCTGACCGAGTCCCTCATCATGTCCGTGTGCTTTGGAATCAAGCGACAAGAGTTTGGGAAAGTTCTGTGTTTTGGAAACTGAGTGAGCTCCAGAGAAGATTATATGTTATATATATATATGTTTTTCTTGTTGGTTTGCGGTGACCCATTGGTAGCCCGGTTTTTTTGGATTGCGGGTGTGTCTACCCGCTGAAAGTTGTTTGGGTTACGTGCGCTTCTGTAAGCTTCGGCGGGTATAGGAAGACGATTCCGCTGTTGATGGAAGAAGGGGGGGTATAGGCATTATACGAGGTGAACACCAAAGCCAGTGCCCTACACCGGCGGTGGCCCATGCTAGGCATCTTTCAGCACTGTCCACACGGCGTTCACGAACGCGAAGGATGTGAGGGCGCAGGTCTACGCCAACCGAGGCCGCTTCGCTTTTTTAATTGCCCAATTCAATGTTTGTTGCGCAGGCGTTGGGTGCCACTGGGGTCATTTATTGCACGTTTGACAGTCCAATTTGAACAAGTTTGGACCTTTCTCATTGTGTCCATTGCGCACAAGCCTGCTATCCAACTTTGCAGGTTCTTCTTTGATGAACTCGGAGACCCAGCTGCGCCCAAACGCATTCCACTTCCACCGTCAAATCATAATCCTCCAACGGGCTGGTGGTGGGTCAGCAGAACGTCAGTTCTCAGTAACTTGGCTACCGGGCAAGAATAGCTTTGCATTTAGCGTGTTCTTGCGTGTCCAGACCACTGTTGTATGATTGCGACACGTTTTTCTTAGTTTTCTTCTGACAGCAGAATGCATGACCCCATACTAGTGCACACTAGTGCCAATCCCTTACGCCGGCAGTTGTTGCTCCGCGCGTGGCTATTGATTTGGAGAAATTTTGTGAACTACCCTGTCCAGAATGTGCGTATGGAAACCGTATTCTTGAAATTCTTCTTGTAGATCTTGTAAGACACATTTCCTAGATTGGTTAGTTCAATCTTTTGTTCCGCCTGCAAGGAATGGGAGTCCGCGTCCAGCGTGGCACGGGCATTTGGGATTGGAAAATTAGAGAGTGGCGCAGTCAGTGCGCTCATGACATCCATCGATCCTTCTGTCGCGGAGCAATTGACTGAAGCCGTACGACGCCGAGGGATGGCCAAGTTGTTGAGCCATGAGGTGATTTCCCGTGGCATGTTCAGCAAGTCGTGGACGTCTGGACTAGCCGCTGCTGAATCCTGGAAAGAAGTGCTGCGCAACAAAGAAGATGGTCGAATTGCATCTAGCCTAGATTCAAGACATGCATTGATAGATTGCCCACATCGATTTTTGAAGCAGTGACTGTCCATTCCAACCACGATTCTACGTAATGTTCATGAGCCTCTAACCTACGAAGAGACATAGATTGACCGGACTTAACGCGAAATGTGTCATAAGGTTTGGTCCTTGTCACGCCTCTCGTGTTTATGTCCACAACCTCTCTTGGTAATCCAGTTTCTTGGCACCTGAGTAGAAAGGTCATCGTAAATCTCCCGTGTTGTTTGTTCTATCCGCCTCTCGTGTTTATGTCCTCAACCTCTCTTGGTAATCGAATTTCAAGGCAGCTGAGTAGAAAGTTCATCATAAATCTCCTGTGTTGAATGTTTGTTCTGTCCTTATGTTGGTCGTCCAAGTCTCTCCATGCTAGTGATCTGCTTGCTTCTGAGCCCGGATCCCTTCCCTCTGCATCGTCCATCTCTATTTTGCTTTTTGTCGCGCGCCAACCTTTTCGTGAAAGCGCTGTCCTGCCCGTTGTTTTTGGTCAAATATGTCTTATATATTATTTATGGACACGTTCCGCGAACTTGCGCTTGTATCTTCAATCCCCGTCCTCATGGCGATGAGTTAAACCCACCTGTCAATCCATTGCCTATACTCCCCACCGTCGTGTTCAACTTCGGTCGAAACAATCTGCTGTTTCAGTTGCTGCCTGCCCCCACCTTTTTGACATTTAGTGAATGTTTTTTTGGTGCAAGCTGCCGCTGTAAACTGCAATGGTTAACTGTGAACTGTTCAAAACACAGGTTCAGGCAACACAGGTTTGAAAGTGGTTGATGATCTCGCATGGTGTCGCGCGCGTGTTTGTGAGTCGGCGATCACGCGATAACTTTGTAACGGTATATTAAACAACATATATAACCACATTTCGTGACTTCTTGATTTCAGATCAGAAAGCGGTTGTTCTTGTTCCACGGGTAAGAATCTACTGGAGGGTTGCTGCTTCTGCTGCTGCTGCCGCTGCTGCAAATTTTAAAGGCATGGGAAACTTGCTGTTTGCTTTTGGCAAGAGCTGTTTCAGGTGCAGTTATTTGTGGCTCGCCTGCTGGCCGACCACGATCGTTGTCTTCAGACCATGCGGAAGGCATTGACCTACAAGGATGCAGTTCCCAAGCATCAATGCTGTGGTATGTTTTGCCATTTGCTTGATTGTCTCGAGCGCAATGCCCCAGCGACGCAGTTCAAGGATATGCAGGATCGCCTTCACAAGATGTTCATGGAATCCTTTATGGACCCAGACCTGCTGCACATGGTGTCGTCTGAAGTCCCTCCTGGTGATTTGAAGACCGTAGCAGCATTCAGGCGTGGGGTTCGGCTCTTTCGCAGGAAGAATGCGGGGCTCGCAGCCCGCAACAAATACAATGAGTTAATCTTCTGACTTCTGTAGTGAGGCAGATGTGTGACAAGGTTTTGAGAAACGTGTTGAGTTGCCGAATCAAAATTGACAGTCGACAGGTTTATATCACAAATTCTTTCTCATGAGGTCAATATCAAGGCCAGGAGTGGGGCAGGGCTTCCAGACCAAGAATATCACTTTGACCTTGCCCTGCTATAGCCCTGCTACAGACTTCGTGACATTGTAGTAAGTAGGAAATTCCCGGGCAATTTTTGAACCATTGCCGAATTCAAGATAGTAGCCACAATCCTTGCGTCATGTTTCCGCTTGTCGAGGCCTTTTCTGGCACAGCTCGAGACAATGGTCCGCGAGGCCAAGGAAGAGAAGGAGGCAGCCCTTGCCGCGACTGCCCGGGAAGCTGACCTGAACCGACTTCTTTCCAACTTGGAAAATGATTTCGAGCTGCTGCGAAGTCGTGTGGAGTCTTCTGGCAAGGAAGCCGAGGCGCATGCGTTGGACATGAAATACATACGAGAAAGACAGCAGCGCCTTGGCGTTTTGTTGTTTGAGGGCTGAGGGCCTTGCTGCTGAGAGCGCTTCAGTTCTTAGCTACTTGGGTTCTTTGATTCGTCCGGTGTCACCCAGGCAGGGCAAACAGTACATCGATGTGTGGATGGCAAAGAAGTGCCATTTCAGCAGGACAGATGAACACTTTGACTCTGCGATTCCACAGTTTCTGAAGTTCAAGGAACAGTTTCGTTCCAAGGGCGGCGATGAGTGGCTTGGTAACATTTACCACCAAAATTAAAATTTCTTTGACCCTTATAGCGACAGTTTTCCATGGTCTAATGCACACGTTGAGCGTTCACGGGGTAGTTGTCGAAGTTGTGATGAGCCTGCTTTAATTTGTAGCTGAGATTTATGATTTGCTGTCTGGACGCGACCGTTTTTCCGGCGAACGCCAGCTACATGAGCAACGCTATCAAGACCTTTTCAGCGTTGCTATCGATGACAAGCAACGCAGTCGGCATTGTTCTCATGCCTGTGTACCAAACACAGACGACTCCAGGTGCTCTTCTCAAACACAAACACCTATTGGAGACAAACCTCATGAACGCCGGGCTGTCTACGCACCACACCATTCAGGTCTTGTTTGCGAAGCCAGATTCTTCGGCCAAGGATGCCAGGGCGCTTTGCCAAACAGCCATCGCTTGCTTTCACACTCACTTCTCAGAGCACGCTTTCACCAGCAGTGTGGCAATCCGCGAAGGGAAACTCGGCCCATGCAATCTGGTGAAGATCTCAGACTTTATCGGATATGATGGCGAGTTGTCGAAGCCGGGCGCTGCGGCTAGAGTAGAGCAGCTGCTTCGATTTGGCCCAGTACTTCATTTGCTTATGAAAACAGCGTAGGCAATCTTTTCCCCTCCTTGATGAATCCCGTTCCCCTTCAAAATTGCCTTCAAATCTATGCTGTTTTGGATTCGCTCGGCCGTCTTTAGTTTTCCAAGGCGCGGTGTTCTATGCCGTGATACTATGATTGCGGGCATTTTGGATGGCTTGACCCTGCGCGATGTGGACACAGTCTTGATGGTCGATGTCGTTCCGAACAGGCTTGATACTTTAAAGTTTTAAAGTTGGTGTTGAGTCTGTGATGCTGTTGGTGAAGTATAGGATGTCATACCGTCTGTCTCATACCAAAAACCATGAGCTTTCTTTGATGCAGGTTTGCGGAATTCGGACGCGCGACTGTGGAGCGGAACTTGCTTGAATCTGCCTTCCCAGTCCACTACTTTGGCTTTCTGTTCCAGGAGTTTGATGCAACCACTTCAGCCGTGAGGTCTCGAGTGTACGAGCATTGGGACAATTCTTCTACCAGTCCACCGAAAGAACGTCCTCGTGAAGAGAGGGCGGCAGAGGTCGCCTGCCCTCCTCTGGGAGCTTTGGCCTGGGCAGGGAAGCAGCCTGTCTTTCCACAGGTGTTGGTGGATCGCTTTCTGGAGGGGAGTGCAGAGCATGCTCAAATCATGGCAAAAAAGAAGGAGTTCGATGCCATGTTTCCTGCTGCTGCGCAGCCTCCTCCAACAAGTGTGCCTGCAAGGGCCGGCGGCCTATGCGACTTTTCTGTCGATTCTGGCCGCGCGCCGCTTGATGTTAGCCGGTGCATCGATTTGCCATCGGTTTCAGTGGCTGACTTCGAGACAGTCAGAGTGCACCTTGTCAGCGCTATAGCCAGGGGTTTCGTTTCTTGAGGTCTAAATTAAGTGCCTCCAAAAGTTGCTTTGTTCTCGCTTTGACCAAACCTTCGTCAAAGGCGCGGGCAAATTTCGATGAGCGGTTCCAGACCAGCCATCGCCATTTCCAACGATTTCTCTGTTTGGTTGGGCAACACCAGCGATGCAGACTTGATGGTCCACGCTGGGGAGTTGTTCGGATTCGGCCTCGGCAACTTCAAAGCTGAAGTGGTGAGCAGCCACCTCAGACTGTCGTTGTTGCTAGGATACTTGCAGTAGTGTAGTTGGGTGTGGAATCGACTGATGAATTGGTCGGGGATTTGGCAAAGTAAACAAACAGTTAGCCTTTCACTTGGTGCTGCTGTAGGTGATGCTAGTCGCGAGCTCCATGGCGTCGTTTGGCGCGTGGTGGATGACCTTCACTTTGTGGCTTACAACAAGAAGCTGCTTCTGTGTGCTAGTTCCTCCGGATGTTGGCGGTAGACCACGGTCTTGGAGAGGTTGAGTTTGTCGACCACGTGCTCAAGCAACGTGTGGTGAAGGCGCCGTGAGCTGCGTTTTTTCCAGCGCGGGAATAAAAGCTTTGCAGCAAGCACCGTCTTGAGTGACATATTCTTTTATTATTTGATGGTTTCTTTCTTTGAGAATCCACATTCGACTCACAAGTTGCCATCGTGTCTTTGAAAACGGCTAAAACGTGCAATGTGACTTCCTGCCGTGAAGGGACGGTGGGCTAAAACGTAGGCGCTTCTAGTGGGAAGGGGTGCGCAATGCTCGAGCGCCTGCCGAGAATCTGGCTATAGATATTGGTGGTCATTGGAAGAATCAACGATCGGGTGCTGTTTTTCTTTTCCAGCACAGAAGGGGGGTGTGTTTTTTGTGACTACTTCCGCCAAGCCAATCCCGATCAATGAATCATGTAGAATGTCCGTCGTGTGCTTTGCTTTGGAAACTGCCTAGGGTGAAGGCGGTGGCGAATTGCCTGTTTGCTTCCGCTACCATGTCGGCCCGGTGAGCAGCAACAACACGAATGTCTTCAAGCTGAACGACCCTCCTGACTCATTCCGAGCTCAGACTTTGGGGGCGCTCTACAAAGGTTCTATGGACAAGATCATCAAGAATCAAAGGGCATCAGTGGTTTGGGAGGCCAAAACTCCTAGCTACAGCTACAATGTCTTTCGAGTTAAGTTACTGTAATGGGGTTGCGTGTCGTTATGAGGCGCAAAGCTGTTTTCAGAAGCAAATCTATATAATGAAGGGTTTTAATTTTGTGTCAGTCCTTTCTTGGCAGGTGAATTTTCAGGCTAGCCCGGGAAGAGTGATTGCTTTGAAGCCGACAGTCTACCTTACGGCATCGCTTCACATCCCGAAGCATAGCTGGTGCAATATCAGCGCTGCGTGATTAGCTTTTTGAAATCGAGCGTTCACTGCCGGCACGATTTTGCTCGACCAACCCCACCGAGGAATGGGGCTGTGTGAGATGATATATTGATTTGGTGTTGGTGTCAGGTTAGAATATAGTCAAGCCTAGTCCCAAAGAAACAGTGTTTGCCAACATATGATACTGACTGTTTCTAAACAGACTCTTATATATATATAATATACTAAAAATATACTGAACAGTGTGACCCGAAACTACAGAAGGCACCAAGACCGTGTTGCCGGAAGCTCATTTGTGTCCGTTTTTTGTGATTTATGGTTTGTTCCAAGGTATGTGTCCAATAGCTATGTTCTTTCTGTTGGATGGCCTAGCGGGCGCCATTTGGGCAAGACCATTTTGCAGCTGGCAGTTCGATAGGACCAGTCACGGCTTTAGCAAAATCAGAATGCCACAGACAGAAGACATGTGGAAGTCAGGGTCAGTGTTTGGGGTTCTATTACTATTCCTGAATGCGCCGGCTGAATTCTGTTGTCTTCCTGCGCCTTTGCTTGTCAAGCTCTCAGTCATTGTCAAGTATCGTGCGTTTGCCACCTGAACTTGAGAGATGGTGGTGTTTGCCGCTGCAGACCAACTCTCCGGTGACTCTGGCTCCGAGAAGGATGGGTGTTTTTTGACTGGTTTGGAAGCTCCGCTGATTAAATTAGCAAGCTTGCCAGCGGTTTTGTTTCCCAATGCCACCAACGTGCTTTTTATGTGTCGGATCTATTCAAGTCGCGCAGGATGATCGCACTGTTAGACCCAAGACAGCGCCGAAGCCAGCGCCAAAGTCAGCGCCGAAGTCAGTGCCGAAGGTTACTCCGAAAGTCAAATTGCATCCAACCTCAAAGGCGAAGGCTAAGGCGGCTAAGGTGTTGCCGAAGAAGAAACCCAACTCCGACCCGCCGCCAACCCAACCATCCCCCAAAGAGGAGGAGCCAGACTCTGACCCGGCTGCGCCGTCAAAGACTGAGCCTTCTGAGGGTGTCATGAAACGCCCTTCGGCCAAGAATTCATCGAACAAACGCTCAGCCGCTGAGATGGAAGGCGGAGGGCCGTTTTTTCCACACTTGGCTCATCATGTGGGGTGCGATTTGTCACGCTAATGCAGTTTGTCATTCTGTGGCAGGTAAGCCGCTCAATGTGCGTGGGCCATATTTCTATAAGAACAACGGGTCATGGGGAGTGAATGTCAACGGCAAAGAAGTATGTCGCGCGCCGTGGCCGCAGTGGTTCTGATAGCCGACTTGTTGAGTTTGGAGCAAAACGCAAACTTTGAGACGTAATCAAAAATGCACGCCTTGGGGAGCTGCAAGGCTGGTGGTGTGCGGTTTCTGCCCGAGAAGTCAAAGGAGATTGCGATGGTGGCGATTGACCTTCTTCGACAAGGGAAATCGATTGACATAGCGAAGCAAACCATTGTCCTTTGGAGCGCATGCAAACACCCCGCTGGTGATTGTGATGTGTCAAGTCAAATGTAGAGAAGGCATAATTATACAATGTAGACTATAGAACAATAGTCAGTGTGCCCGCCTGTCGATTTCCACAACTAACGTTGGTCTCTCACTGTGGGAGACTGACATAGTTCTTGGATTGCGGTCATCCGCGCGTCTTGGTACTTACTGTTGGCTGGCTTTTTGCTTCGGCCAAGGCGAGCATGCACAAGGCACTGTTGGAGCAGGAGGCGCCAGGAGACAAGTCCACTGAGCAGTCTGAGCCTTCTGCGCCGGCAAAGGGAGCGGATGGAGCCAAAGAAGAGGCGGTGAAAGAACCACCGCAGCCGGAGGAGGAACGTGAGGGAGAGGAGGAGGAGGAACTCGAAGCTGACCAGGAAGTAGAAGCTCCGCCGGAAGACGTGGAGTAGATTTATGTTGAAGCCTTCCAATTTGGAAGCCAGCTGACTGACTGAGACTTGTGTCGGCGGCAGAAAGGTCAGCCGTGCTTTTGGCGCTTCGTGGGGCAGCTTTTGGTAATTGGGGTTCTTGGGTTGAATGTTTTTCCATTGACCCTATACAAAGGACTTTTGTAAGTGGCCTTCACTTCAAGCAGGCGTGACCAACTGGGAGATCAACATCAGATCGAAACATCTGTGTATTATTCTGGGTCTCACTGTAAGAGTCAGCTTCTTCGAGGACCGTAATGTCGGAAGTGGTCATGCCAATGGACATGGTAACGTTAGTCTGACCATGTGCTTGCCTCGTGTTAACTTCGTGGTTGTGTGAGGCCGGAAGTTCAAATGTAACGTGCAGCGTAAAGCGTCATTGTAGCCGGACGGTGTCATGGAAAACGCCAACAAAATTCGCGCTTCTAGTGATTGCATTGGACCATTGACACACTCTATATATTGTAATAAACACTCCAAACATAATAGAACAGTAGGTGGGCTGACGCATTTTTACGCACCTTTCCCAAGTCTGGTATGTAGAGTGGGACATTTGATATTATGATGCACCGGCATGTGATCCATCTTTAATTTGCATATGTGGGTGCGCCTGTCAAAGTGTGGGGGCGCGGGTTCCTGCCTCTGACTCTATGTGGGCGCACTGACCAGAAATTGCTAGCGTTCCTGGCCCAAACAGCAGGTGAAACTATGTCTAACTAAGTGCCACAGGGGCAGCTACTTGACAAAGATGGCGGCGCTTCAGTGCTTCAGTTTGGTAGCGGAGTAGGGTGTGTTCACCAGTAACCAACATAAAGCATAAAGCCCAAGTCAATCCCAAAGCCCAATTCAAATGAAATTTCTTTTAAAGTAGAAGGTGGAA